TGATTGGAAATTTTTTCCCAAAATTCGTCGTCGTGGCGCAGTAAGTTGCGGGATTAGGTGTCCTGCACTGTATATAATATGTGTGGCGAACAAGTTAACGTGATACTTTGCTGCTTTTTGAAAATATATATTTTTTTTAAATAATAATCGAAATAAAAAGTATTGAACTTGCCCTTTCATAATCTGCTAAAATCTACAAAACCTATATAAAGATCGTTTAAAATAATCGATTGAATTTTTTATATTAATTGTTCTCTAAAATATATTTTTTAGAATAAATGATGAGACGTCATTATATACACACCATACACCACCATCATTAACATCATCGCCATTACCTTATCAAGAATACAAACTTGTTAATGATGATGATAAGGAAAATAAAAAAACATCACTTGTGATAACATCATCATAATATTGTATAAAATCTCTGAGAGCCTTTATATATATTAAATTATTTGCCAATGATTTTTTTTTTTGTGTGCGTTTGAATCCGTCATACATTTCAACAATCATTGACAAATCATTATTGAATGTGGAAAGAATGAAAAAAATTAAAAATGAATCATGATTTCAGCAATGATTAACAATATGATATCAGATAAAGATGCTTTAAATTCTTTACTAATTGGGGGTGTTAGATATAAGTATAATCGCAACCAAATAATAGATACATATGTAAACTCGATAAGTCGGTCATGTGGGGGTGAGTTCATATGACCGGCTTGTCGAGTGAACCAACTTATCGAATTAAATTACTTAAATATTAAGAAAATGGGGTGAAAATTTTGGCCGACTTATCGAGTTTACATCCTAAATCGCCGCCTTTAATGGTTAATTATGAATTATGTATTCGAATTACATTGAAAGTTTATAAAACAAATAAAACGAATAATGCGAATAATAATTCGAATAATTCGAATTCGAATTCGAATTAATATTAATATTAATATTAGTATTAGTATTAGTATTACGAATAATTCGAATATTGCATTCTTTATTACTATCTTTTATTATTGTATAAATTTTTTTTTTTTTTGAGCAAATGTGTGTTTTTTTCTTTTATCATTCTAAATAATGGGAACGCATATCAACTAAATGTTTTATTCTGCACTAAAATCCCAGATATAAAAATAAATGTTAAGAAATTCTTTTATAATCTTAACCGGCTCACATCACTAATTATAATTACAAGTATAACGAATATTGCAAAGAGGATAATAAGTCAAGGACATCAATGAACTACCAAGAAAAAAAATATAAAGATTATATGATCAATTATCATATGTGAATGAATAAAACCAAATAAAACAAGCGAGAGAATGAGAGAAATTCATTACAATCACACAATAATGATGGCGGTGATGGCGTTGTTTAACACTTCATATCACTGAGATTATGACCTGTTACCAATGTCCATAGTCCCATAAAAATTGGCATGCTCACTCTACAAAGAATTTTTATTTAAATCGTTGAAGGCAGCTTTTATTACCAGTCAGGTGGTAAATTAATGTATATTTACAACCTTACGCCTGCTTTAGGTGAATAAAGCTACGTCATTTTAGAACTAATCCTTTCAGGATAAATTTATTTTTTATTAATCAATTTGTGTTTTTAAAAGATCAAAAAAAAACGAAGTTGCTATATTAATCCTTATCACATATATATTGTTTTCTACTTTACAACTTTTTCATTAAAGAAGGTTTATGTGCTCTTAAACTTTCTGCAACAACAGTAAAATAATTAGCCAAAGCTATTTCATCAATAGCTCGAGTGAATTGACATTTTAAAGATTGGGATGAAGAATTAGTTGGAAGATGACTTTGTGCGATATCAGCCATCTTTACTAATGATGGGCTAGAAGAATCACTGCTAAATAAAACTGTATAAAGATATAACGGTGACCTATTAAATTAGTGAAAAAAATTTTTAAAATTATTATAATTATTTTATTTATTATTTATACATAAACAATATAAATAAAATTACACACCCTCTTTGTTGATTGACTCTACAAATATTTTCTAATCGAGCATCTGGTGATCCACATTTACCATCTGACAAAAAAATAATAATATTTGTCCTTGAAATATTTAAAATACAAGTTAGTTATATTATATATATTAAAACCAATTTTAAATCAATCAATGGATATGAAATTAAATTACTTTGTTGGATCATAATATTTATCAACTAGGAACCCTGCTTTCTGTATCGCCAAGTCAAAGTTAGTTCCACCACTTGCATTATGCTGAACCATAGTACCTAAAAATTTGTCTGCATCACTTAATGGTTGATTTTCAATTGGTACAATAGTACTACTGTTGAACAAGATTAAAGAAATAGTGTCTTTATTAATGGCACCCTGAGTTAGATTCCTTTGAGATGTAAGGCGTGTTTCCATAAATGAATAAACCTTAATTGATAATTAGTTAGAAAAAAGTTAAATTTGTTAAAACAATAACACAAAATTAAATAATTACTGCTGAGTATACTGCGCCTAGCCTATTATTGTGTTTTTGTGCAATTTTTTGACGGATGTTTGAACGAATGTTTTCTAAAGGTTTTCTATCATTAAATCCCATTGAACCTGATCGATCAAGTGCAAATATAATATGAAATGCTGCTTCTCTTTTATTTGGATTATCACAGCTGAACTGATGACCATCCAGTGAAATGTAACCAATACCAGTTGATGTACTAGATGATGGATTTAAAGGTTTATGGAAAATTTCCAATTCACAATAAGATTTTGTGGGAGTTGCACTATTAGAACTTTGTTGCTTATTGTGAGCTTCATCTGGACATTCATGATCACATTTTGCAAATTCTACTTGTTCTTGTGTTGAATATGGATCTTTAAAGCCAGTTCTTCCCCAAAATAATTTATGAGTTACAAAATCTTTTTTATCATCAGGATTGGGCTTGATGGGTGCTGATCATTTTAATAATTAATATATATTTTTAAAAATTTTTTTATAAGAATTCTCATTAAACAAAATGGAAAGAATAAATACCATCTAAATGTATTACTTCATGCCCTTGTTGTCCATTTTTACATGCCTCCACATTTTGACAATAATCAATATGTCTATGGCGACCTAATTCTTTACAATAAAAATTACAAAGAACAAAAGAACCTTGATCTCCAATTTGTAATTTATGTCCCTTATACTCAAATTCATCATTTTCTGCAGTAAATTCAGTCTGTACCATATTTCCATGGCGAGTATCATGTAAAGTTTGTATATGTCCATGAGGTAAGTTGCAATAATATTCACAAAATTGACATTTTTTATCACAAAAATGAACTCCATTTTCATCATGTGAATGTGTTCCTTCATGCTTGAAGGAGTTTGGTGGTATTCTTTTATTACATCTCATCCTTTCACTTTGTTGAATATATTTAAAAAAGCTAATTGAAGTTTCTTTGATCAACCCTTTATAAGTTGCTTCTTCTTTTTTGGGTTCAGTTGAAATTTTACAAATACCTGGCTCTTCACATTCCTCAAGACATTGATGATCATTACCACAAAAATGATTAACTGTAAATTCACTGTAAGCATGAAAATGATTATTACTCTGGCATCTATTCCGACAATCTGAAATTGGGCATTCAATTGGACATGTCTCATTTTCACAACGATGTTGATCATGCTCAAGCTCACATGGCATAATGCATTTGTTTGGACATTCATAATCACCTTTATCACCTTTATTGATTGATGTAAAGAGTGAGCATGACTCTCCACAATAATGACGATCTGACTGACACATGTGTTCATCATCTTCATGTCCAATATCTTTTGAACATACTTTTTGACAATTACGTTTATCACTAAGTTTACAAGGTTTTCCACATAAATGACTGGTTTTATTACATGCATGTTTCCCATCATGTCCTGCTTTATAACTACAAGTTGGAATAAAAGAACTATGTGCCTCTACAAATTGACATGAGAAATGGCATTCATGATTAGTCTTGCAGTCATGATTGTCAGTATGACCATGATTTTTAAGGCAGCGTAATCCACAATCCTGACAAGAAAGCCCACATAATGTCCAAAAAAGCCTAAGATTGTTGATTTCTTTTTCAAGAGCATATTTTCCAATAACAACTTCACTATTGTCTTGTGGAAATTTGTTAATATTTTGTAAAAACCATTGCTCAACACGATATACTCTTCGTTCAATAATAAAATTGAAAAACATTTCTAATTTACTAAACCATTCTGAATCTTTTTCAGACTTTTTCCTTTCTTGAATTTTATCTTCAAATTGATTTCTTAGATCATATGAAAAATCAACAAAATCAGCATTTTCTTCAAAGAGTAAAACATCTGAATCTGGAAATAGTTCATTTTGTGTATTGAAGGTTTCTGCAAATTTAGATAAATGAGTTTGGCCATCTGTTTTCTCCCCAGTGTCATGATTTAATTGAGGTTGATCATCTATTTTCTCTCCTGTATTGTGATTTATTAAGGGCTTAATTTCTTGCTCCTTTTGCTCTAAGCCATAAGATATAGCTATTGGAAGTATTCTTTTTAAAATTGATAAACGCATTTGAACAAGGTTTTCATCCAAAGATCCCCAATCACAAATCTTTAATTTAGCCATAATGACTTTAGTGTTTTGTAAAAAAGTTCGTGCATTTTCATATTTTGCTTTCTGTTTATCTAATTTTTTTTTAACAGTTTTCAAAGTTTTGAACCAAGCAGGATCATTAAATAATGGCCATGGAAAAATAGTTAATCCACTTTTATACATTCTAGTAATAAAATTATCTTCTCCTTGTTTTTTAACCAAATCTTCAAACTTGAGATGAAACTCATCAACAATTCCTTTTCGATCATTTTCATGAACATCTTTAATTATGATGCAAAGTTTTGCTTGAAAAACATTTGAGTCAGATTTAAAAAAAGTTGCACCATCTTGAAATCTTTGAAACATTTCTGACATGTCTCTACTAACAGCAAATTGGTTTTTAAAAAGTATCAAATTTGAAACCATTGTGTTAAACAAAGTTAAAAATAAGTCTTCTTGTGGTGTTCTTTCCAAAGATTTTAAACCTTCAAAATCAAGTGCAACATAAATATTTTTTTTTGTTATAACTAAAGACATCCACACTCCTTCAGTGCATCTCATTGCAGAACCATCAAATGTTGTTCCAACAAGGTGATTCAACATATATGATTTTCCACATGATTGCTCACCCATACTTGAAACAACTTTAACTTGTCTATTACCAAAATGTTTAAATATACCTTCATACCATCCAAGAGAAATACTTTCTGCAATACCATCAAAGCGACATCCATATTCAACATCAAAATCTACATCATGCTCATTTGAAGATAAACCATCCCGAAGTGGTTGAAATTGATTATTTTTAGCAACTGCAATCTGAATGGGTATTAAACATGAAAGTTGAATTACAAAATCTCCTAGTTGATATTTATTTGAATGTTTTGATATAAAATCATTTTCTTCAATGTCTAGTTCTGAAAATGTTGTAACAGTAGTTTTAAAATGCTTTAAAATAGATGCAGGTTTTTTTGTTTTCTTCTTTAATTCATTGAACATGCTAACAACATATTTTTCAAACTTTCTATCATAATTTTCATCTTTACAATCATCATTTATATCAAGGACAATTTTCAAATTAAGTGGCCGATTTTGTTCAGGATCTATGCAACTCTCAACTGGATACTTTTCAAACATTAATTTATATGCATCTATAAAACCATTAAGTTTTATCTTTGGTTCAATTTGAAAGTCAATCCATGTATCATCATCAAGTGATAAGGTCTGATATACACCTGCAACCTTCAATTCAGTGTTTGAAATTACATCAACAACACTTAATTTTTCTTTTTTAATAACAATGTACTCTCCTTTATGCACTGCATGTTTAAAACTAGTGTTTTTTCCTTTTAAACTTGAATAATTATTATTGTTAGAATCAGTGAAGATTCTCAGCAATTTAACTTGACCAACTAGCTTTCCTTGATTACACTGTTGAAATCTGTACTGGGTTTTTTCAAGTGTAATCTTAGTAACTAATGAAAGAAATAAATTATTTTTTATATCAATTGTTGTAAGATGTATTTGGCGATTATTTATAGATGAAAATTGAAGTAATTCTATTGAATTCATATTTGGGGGTAGTTCAACAACTTTATTTGAATTAAAAAAATTTTTAATATGTTAAATGAAAATAATTAATAAAAACCCATTCAAAATAAATTAGCTCAATTTACCTTTATTAGCAGTGTTTCCCATGTTAGAACAAAAATAAACATAGGCTTTAAATACATCACTTGGAGTATTCTTTGAATCCTTTTGTTTTTCCAAACATTCATCATCATATAACTCATCTTTTTTATCATCTTCTTCTTTGCCATCATCATATTTTTTGTCATTATATTCTTTGTCATCATTTCTTTTGTCATCATCTTCTTCATCATCTTCATCATCTTCATCTTCTTCGTCATCTTCATCATCTTCATCATCTTCATCATCTTTGTCATCTTTGTCATTTTTTTCACCTGTGCCATTTTCATCATTATTAGATGCTGTTGATTTTTCTTTCACAAATACTACAATACAAGAACCATCAGGTGTGCTTGACATGTTTATAGAATCTGGAGGAAATTGTAGTGTTGCAGGATGAAATTGACCAGTCACAAGGTTATAAATTTTTGTTTTACCATTAGTTTCTACAAAACATAATTCTTCAGTAGTTTTTATGAAGAAAAAGTGTTTAATATCTGGTGCTGAATTATTATAATATTGTAGAATTTGAATATTGGGGTTGCGACTATAAAGACTGGCTTGATTTTCATCAAATGCATAAACATTTAGCTAAAGTTTTTTGGTTTGTGAAAAATAATAAGTTATATATATTACTTACAATTATTCATTATAATGGATAAATACAAAAATAAATAAATAAATCAATTTACCACTCCTTTTTCAGCAACATAAATTCCAATTAAACCTTTGGGTTCATTTATAGCAAAAAGACAATCACCATCAGGATTTAATGTTTTTAGTGGTTTTAAATTTGATAATTGAAAAGCTGATTTTAAGCGATTAGAATTTTCAAAAAAAATTTCTATTTGATTTGATTTTTTATTCCGAAGTATTATTAGGAACTTTCCATTTTCAAATTGAGATATTTTTCTAAAAAATATTGCATTATTAATTTAATTCTTTGATTAATATCAAGAATATTGAAAAATTGATTACCTGAGTTCATATCTTTCTGGATCTATTTTGAAGGATGCATGTGAATTTTTATCATTGTCAAGATGAAGTTTTGGAACATGTAGCTCATATTTTTGAATATTTGAGTTTTCAGACTCTTCTAAACGTGTTTCATATAATGTGATATTTAGTTGATCAGGTTGTATTGACTCAATTTCATAAGTAAATGTTAAGCTATGAGTGTATCGTGCTAATTAACAAGCCAATTATGTTAACAGACAAGAAAATATTAAAGCACTTGATTCATGCAGAGTTTTAGAAAATAGATATTTAAATTAGAATTACCTTCTATTTTTAATAATTTAAAAGTTGTGCTGTCAATTTAAAATTAAAAATTAATAATTAAAAGATTATTTATAATACAAATAAATCATTTTAAATTATATTTTAATTACCCTTTTGAAAATTTTTCTTCAAGTATTGAACAAATTCTTTTAAATTCATGCTCTTCGATTTTTTTAGTGTCCTGTAAACTTTCTTTCATTAGATTTTCTTCATATTGATCCTTAATATCTGCATATTTTGGTATAATATCTTTAATATTACTAGAACATTGTACATTCCTCCAATTTTGGTATTCTCCAAAAAATATGCTAATAACTCTATCCCCTGTTTCTTGGGTCATGTTAAATAACTCAGAATTATTAAGTTGTTTAACAAATTTAGAGTCAGAAATTTCATTTGCCATTTGGGTTGCTTTTTGAATATTCCTTTCAATAACATGAGATTCAATGACAACGGGTTGAATAGTGTGAGAATCATCTTCATTAGAACTAGATCTCTTAAACATACTACCAATATTACTAATAAATGATTGAACAGTTGAAAGAAAATTTTTCTCCTGTGAAATGTCTGTGTATTTTTTTGTTAATTTACTATAATCTTTTTCTTCATCAAGTAACATTTTTAAAAAAAATTCTGAAATTATTTTTTTACATTCATTTGAATCAGAATTATCTTTTTTGTTAGAGTTGTCATTTGTTTCCAACTTTTCATTTGAATCGGGAATATCATTCGAATCTTGATCATTATTGAAATTTGAATTGCTGCCCAACTCTAAATTATCATTTTTTGGCATATTAAATATCTCCATAGTTATAAATGAACAGAATAGGAATCTCTTTTTCCAAGTTTTCCACAATTTTGAGTTTATTACAACAGCCTTTTCTATTTTTTGATTTATAGCTGGGTATTTTTCATAAACTTCTTTGATTTCTATTTACAATTAATAAGTATATAGCTGTTAAATAGGATCTAGTTATATTTATTATTTAAGAAGATTGCAACTTACTTGAATCATTAAATTTGGGCACTGTATTATCATCATTAATAATAACTTCAAATTTACTGTTAAAAAGTAATAAAAGGTCAAAATTATTCAATGGTATAATTAATTGATTTAAAATGTCATTATACCTGTAAGATTCTTTTAATCTCATCCAGGCCATGTTTGTTATGATTTCTGCATGCCCTTTAATTTCTTCGTTTTTATTTTGTTTTTCTTTATTAAATGTTGAGTTTATAGCTTTCAATGAATCATCATATGATTTTAATAAATCATTTTCCTCATCAAGACAAACTTCAATAAATATTTTTAGTGATTTCATGTCTATAGAATCTTCTATTTTGAGGGAATGGTCTTTAATAAGATCTTTAAATGATGATTTATTATTAGCATATTTTGAAAAAAACTTTGAATGTCTTTGCATATTTGGGGTTGATTTTATAATACTTTGAGTGATGAATGCTTGATGTGATACAGACTCAACAACTATTTTTAAAATTTTTTTAAGTTAATGGAATTGAAAGTATTCAAGTGGTAAAACAGAATAATGATAATACCAATAGGTTGCAATAAAGTCTTATTATGATGAATAATTTCAAGGTCAGGTTGAATAGAATTTGGTAGTTGAATCTAACATTTTCGTAACATTATAATAATACAAGGAGTAAGTAAATGTAATTAATAAATTATAAATATAAAGAAATCTTCTAACCTTAAAGCCCTTGTGTAACTGGAAGTCTTCTTTTTCTTCTTGGCTTTCTTTGACTTCAAATTCATAGCATGCATCATCATCATCATCATCATCATCATCATCATCATCCTCATCATTATTTTCATTGTCAACATCATCATCACTATTGTCATCATCATAGTCGTCATCCCTTTCATTTCCTATTTCCCATTCAAAAGATTTTAAATCATTTTTACTCATTAAACATATCTGGTGATCAGTCAATTTTGTGAGATACCTATAATAAATATAATTTTTTAGTCATTAATTATAATATGATAGGTGAATAAAAATTTTTAAATAAATTTTATTTACCTATGAAAGTTAACCATATTTTTTTTTAGTTGATCAGTTGCATTATCTTCATAACAACCAGGTTCAGGCCAATGAATTACTAGACCTAAATTAACATTCACAATCAACAAATAAATTCCTGAATGTAGAGAGGGGCTCCCAGTTTTATTTGAAGATACAAGCAATTTATACCTAAAATTTATATGTATGTTAGTTGTCAACAATTAAAGGATTCATGGTTAAAAGAAACAATAATTCAATTTACATTTTTCGGTTAATAGTTTTTTTAATTAATAACAGCTTTGCAATCAATTCATAGTTCCCATAACACCCAACAAGATGGAATGATACTCTATTTAGTTCTGTATATTTAATATCTGATGCAGATTTAAAGCTACTAGGAGCCAAGTCATTACAAAACTTTTCCAATGATTCCTTTGATATAATTATTTTGTTAACTAAAAAAAGAAAGTCGATCAATAAACTCGAAAGTCTCACATGATATTGACAAATCACATGATTAACTAATGTTGACACATACCGAGACCATTTGATCCTTCATCTTTTTTTAAATCTAACAAAAGATATAATCCCGGAATATAATCCAAAAGATTTTGTCCACTTCTAATATTATCATTTGGATTATTATAGGAATTTTCACGTTTGGAGATTATCTTTAAAATATCTTCCTTGGTTTTTTTGAGGTCATCTAATGTTTTATTTTTATTTTTAGACTCGTTATTAGACAAATCATCCGAACTTTCTGAATCATTGTGTTCAGGGACTTTTGAATCGCCAAGGGAAGACAAATTTTCATCTTTATCAGATAAATTTTTATTGATATTTGCACCAAGATTTTTTGGAATTGCATTTTCTTCGACAGATGACAATAAATGGTCTTTTTGTTGATTAGGTTCAAACGAATCATTAAAATCTTCTGTCTCGGAGATTTTCGAATTATAAAATGTAGGAAAATTGTTATCGTGATCAAAGAATGTTTTTGATTGATCTAATTTTGTCTTGCCTTTGTCAAAAAAATTTTTGTCCATATTGTCGTTAAGGCCTTTTAAACCAGCATTTTCTTCGACGGAAGATTGATTATTTGTTTCAATGGAGTAAATAAAATCATCAAACGTGCCAAAACTCACATTCGTAGCACTACTATTAACATCATGACCATCTGTTGTCTGGGAAGAAGTAGACGAATCATTGTATTGATCAGATGAAGAGCCGATAGCTCTTGAGGAATCATCATTAGACACGTTAGAAGAAATGGTTGGTCCAGGCGAGACTGGAGAATTGGTAGAGTTACCTGGTTTTGTAAAAACCCCGATTTAACGCGTTAATTTGTATTGCTATAGGCAAGAAATTACTTTCAAAAAGATTTTACTTACTACTATTTTCTGATATTTCGGGACGAATTTGCATTTTTAATTATTTTGAATTCTGAAACCAATAGTAAGTATTTTATTTGGTTAAAAAAAAGATTATGAAATAAAAAATTAATCTTTAAATATTTGTGAAAACATCCCATTCTTTCCAAATAAAGAAAAGATTGCCGGCAAAGAAATAAGAATCTGTCATTGAGGACAAATTTGGGGAAACAAAAGTTTAGCGTGTAACATTCTTATTGAACCATAGATAGATGGTTTTAATTTACGCGAGCTAGAATTGACAAGTTTTTATTTTTCCAACAAATTAATATTGCTATTTTTATAAAAAAAATGCCCAAATTCGTCAAAAGAGATCATCATCATATGTTGAAAATCATACTTGATGGTTAAAAAACAAACAACAAATAATTATGTTGCCTTGCCGTATTATGAGTTTAAATATTAGATTATTTATCGAATCTGTTTAACACTAATGATAGTAAATTTTGAGAATCATCATTAACAGTCGCTTTATCACTACTATCATCATCATCACAATCACAAGTATGCAAATTATACAGGTAATGACGATTGGTTTGTTTTTAACAAGCCTGAATTTTTTTTGTCAATCCAACTAAGAAATAAAGTGCAAAACGGTATAGTTTTGGAACGATAGAAAGTGCAAATTTAGTCAACGTCACAAACAGTATTCTAATAAAATGAATGATAATAAAATCTCAAACCTATAACTTCATATTTGAAATAAACCATTTTTAAATTACAATCTGATTTTAAATCATCAATCACACTATTGCCATTTGAATAATCAATTATTAATAGTGAGCTTGTTAATGAAATTAAAATGATGACCGATCAACTCGATAAGTCAGTCATCAAGTACAGTCGGAACTCGTTAAATTGGTGTGCTTGTTTTGGGCTCAAAACATCGTTTTATCCAACATTTGTTTTATTGAGTGGTCTTCGATAAAACGAAGTTAATGTATTTTTTTAAAAAAAAATCGGTTTAAAGAGTTATACATACATCAAAATTTACATATTCGTTTATGCTACATTGAAGAACAATATGTACTACTGCAAATCGTTTATAAAATAAAGCAAAGTTTCCTTCGATAAACCGTATTATTCGTCTTATCGAGTTATATTTAATACCGTCTTAAACATTTAAGTGAACAATAGGAATATTCGTCTTATCGAGTTGGTTTTATTAATTAGGGGGAACTAGAAAAACTTCGTTATAACAAAAATTCGTTTTATCGAGTCACGTCTTATCGAGTTCTGACTGTATTAGGAATTTTTAAGTAATATTTCCTGGGTAGATATGATATTCAAACTCGAATTATTAATTCGATTCGAAGAATCAAATTAATCGCAAAATATTCGTTTGATTTGAATACTTTAAAAAATTGATGTGCGGGTCACATGATAAACAATCAACAACTAAAGTGAGAAGTATAAAATCAACCAATGAAATTCAAGGATTAGGTTATCGCCTAACAAAATAGATTACTGCGTTAGGGTTGGGAAAGCAGAATCAATGGGATACATGTGCTGTCTGTATTACTTTGTATTAAAACTCAGATCAAAGGAGTTACAAAAAAAGCTTTGTTAATAAAAAACAAGTCAATAAATGTTTGAATAATTGTAAGCATTTCTGAATGAAAGTCAAAATTTTGATAATAATTCTGTAAATATGGAAATGGCGATAATGACATTACAGCTACAGAATAATCAGAATGAATAAGATTTGAGGAAGGAGTAGCACGTATCGAAGACAATGAATTAAGCGATAAATTGGACGGTTTAAAAGAAGTTTCACGTAATAATAAACTTAAAGATATGCGTGATCATTTACTTAGTACTTGAATCATAATATATTATATTAACATTGTCTGATTATTTGTTGCTTTGGAAAAACACATGTTACAAAGCACTCCTGTTATAATGTCACTCCGTGCAAGCAAAAAATGTCAGCATAATAATAACAACAATAATAACGAAATTGTCATTATAACGGAAATTCATGTTAGAATCATTAATTATTTTTGAAAATAAAAATCCAAACTAATTTGTTTAGCTTCTATAAAATTCTGATTTATTATTTTTTTTTTTTTAATTCTTAGTAATCCGCCACTATAAACTTTGGTTCTTGTTCTTGTTATATACAAGTAAGAAGATTTACACAACTTTTTAATGCATAAAATTTTTCTCCTCTTCTTCCTAAAGTTGGCACCCGTAATGTAAATTACGGTATTACTGGTGTTGCAACTAATCGCAATGTTGTAATATTTGTTTCTAACAAATAAAAGGTAGATCACGATTTTTCAATTCCTTTTCACCCACAAGTATGTTTAAAACCATTTATTTTTCATATTTTTCTTATAATAATTAAAGATGAATTTTGATACTGATAACAAAAAAAAACTTGGTCCAAAATATAGTGATATTAATATCTGGAATATTTTAGACGTGGTAACATCTTGGTAATGGATATTATACTAAACTACGTGTTTGTCATTTTTTAAAGATGCCCGACCGTATCAAATGTTTTATGGGACAATATAAATAAAAAATTGGCTAACTGCATCGTGATTATGTTACAACACTATGCATAGTTTTTATGAAATATGTAAAGTTGCGAGTATGTTGCAGCATTTGGTATTTGATTACAGACGACAAACTTGCTTCTTCCTCTTCTTCTTTATTTAAACCAACAGCAATAATTTCTTCTAATCCAGGCATTGATTCAATTTCGTAAGTATTATCACAATTAATATAGTCTTCTATTGTTATTGATCCTTTATAATATTCATTCATTATATTTTGCAACTCTAATTCAGCATTAACCTCACTATTTTCATAATTAATATAATCATCTAAATTATCAACTTTTTTCCAAGAATTAATAATGGTTTCGCTTTTAACTAATCAATATTTTATTGATTACTTAATCATGATTTTTCAAAAATGATGTACTGACATGTCATTATAACGAGTGTCATACTACGAGATAAATTCTATAATTAAAAAATTTTTTTTTGACAAATTATGTCATTATAACGGGTTAAATAACGAGTGCCATTATAACAGACGTAAATTTATATTAGTAAATTTGTTTTTTTAAAGAAATTCCATTATAACGAATGTCACTATAACGGGAACTATTACTATATATACTATGTGTCATAGTAATAGTAATAGTAATAGTAAAAAATATGTGGTATAATGAATCATATTTTTCGAACTTTTGATTCGATTAATTTACCCGTTCAATTCACTTCCATAATGGAGGAAAACGTAAATGGGTGTCATTATAACGAGTGTCATACTACGAGATAAATTCTATAATTAAAAAATTTTTTTTTGACAAATTATGTCATTATAACGGGTTAAATAACGAGTGCCATTATAACAGACGTAAATTTATATTAGTAAATTTGTTTTTTTAAAGAAATTCCATTATAACGAATGTCACTATAACGGGAACTATTACTATATATACTATGTGTCATAGTAATAGTAATAGTAATAGTAAAAAATATGTGGTATAATGAATCATATTTTTCGAACTTTTGATTCGATTAATTTACCCGTTCAATTCACTTCCATAATGGAGGAAAACGTAAATGGGTTATTTGTCAAATTAACATGTCTAAAGCTCGCTGAGCTTGCCGGTATTATTACTACTGCCATCGTAGTGTTGCAAGTCGACTGGAGGGTCATAAGTCGTGACTAGTCGACTGGATTTTTTTCTAGTCGCAACTCAGTCACGACTAGATTTCAGTCACGACTAGATTTCAGTCACGACTAGGTTTCAGTCGCGACTAGTTTCAGTCATGACTAGATTTCAGTCACGATATTGATACAAACATCAATTAGATGCAATTATGGCTTAATCAAAATGCTAATAATTTTTTCTTCAAAAGAATTTTATTAAATTAATAAATATTAATAATTTATTTTATTTACAATTCTTCTGAAATATTTTTGTAAATTTTCTTTCAAAAAAATGACATTTTTAACTGTTGACGGATTTAACCGATTTCTTTTATTTGTAATTAAATTTCCGTTCTGAAGGAATATATGATGACAGTATTCCTAATTATTTTCTGGATAAATTTGATAACCTTGGAAAAGTTGTTTGTTGCATTTATTAGTATTAAAAATTATTTTTATTGTTACTATAAAATAACTTGTATAGTATGCACACACTTCTATTATAGACCGCGAATTACAGTAAAAATATTAATATTGAAATCTAGTCGTGTAGTCATGACTGAAATCTAGTCACGACTGAAATCTAGTCGCGACTGAAATCTAGTCGCAGCTCAGTCGACTAGAAAATTTTCTAGTCGTGACTGAATGCAAATCGACTATATAGTACAAATTTAGAAATGTCCAATCAAGTTTGTTGCTGCAGATAGTTTCTAAATTTGTACTAGATGATATCCACTGCATATATACTGTATATACATATAAAAAAACAAAGTAATGAAACAACCAATATCAATATCATCACATGACAAACGCAAAAATGTTTTATATACTGTATATTTTTATTAAGAAATGAAAATTGATCTATTTAATTAATTAATTACAATTAAGATAACAAAAAGAAAAAAATTTTAAAAGAAAGAATTTACATTAATCGAAAAAAAATATTACAATAAAAATTTACAATAAGAGGAATAAAAGAAACTACTAATACAAATAAATATTTTTATCTTTTATTTTTGTTCATTAGACGCTCGTATTTGGTGAATAAATTAAGGTTTATAGATGAAGGTGTAAAAGAGGAATTTTTCTTATTTTTGGTATTTTTGTATTTTGATTTTGATGGTAAGATTGCCTCAAGTGGTAAATTAGTCCAGTAATGATCGGCGACATCGAATTTTTCAGTAGGTGGTTGGCCCGTTAAACCAAGATAGTTGGAAAACGGAATAATTGTTTCTTTTTCAATTTTTGGAGTTGTAGTAGTTGATTTATTATTGCTTTTGGAGATTTTGATATTAGAATTGGAATTGTTACGAATGTTAGATTTAGTGATGTTATTACTAGTATTGGCGATTTTTTTGGATGGTAAAATATTTTCGAGTGGCTCGTAAGTCCAGTAATGTGACGATGATAATTTATCGAAATGTTTCTTGGTCAATTTGATTTCATAAAGACTGAAATATGATGAAAATGGTGTTTGATTAGTGGAAGACTTAGTGACGGAAGAATTAATGACGGAAGAGGTAGCTGCAGTAGTAGATGTGGTGTAGATGGTGGTGGTGGTAGAAGTAATAATAGAATCCGAGAATTTAATATCAAAGAAATCTTCACTTTCGAAAAAACCAGAGTCTCTTTTAGCTTGATAGTTAGGCATTTTTTTTTATTTGACTTGTTTTATTTTTAAAAGAGAATTCGAAGGAATTTAAATTTATAAAGTTTTAGATTTGACTCGTTTGAATTTTATTTCTTTTGAGGGATGAAATTCGAGTTATTTTATAAGAAAATTTATCCATTATTCCAAGTTGAAGAGATTTTAGCATCAAAGTAATCAAAAAAAAAAAAAAAAACTTTATAATAATCATTAATGCAAAAAGATGCGAGGAGGGAAATGCCAATTTATTGAATAAATTCTTTCTAATGCCTTCTTTGTATATTATGCCGCCTACTTATGCATGTCCACATATTACATTTCATTGTTTTTTATTATAAATGCAATTCAATATATTAATTTAGCTTTTGATTACATTGAAAATTTGCATGATCAAACAATTGATCCAATATATAAATTAGAGAATGTGTGATTTGCTATTATTGATTAATTTTCCAAAAAAAATATTGTTGATTCCTAACTCATCAAAAAATTTTAAATTCCAAATTAATCAACAACGCATTGTTAATAAGAATTGAGATTTAAAGTAATCAATAATTATAAAATTTAAAAAATCAAATGTATTGTTTTTCTTATTGTTTATAGAAGTTGGAATCGACCAACACTAATTAGTCGACTATTACTATCTTGGTCGACTATTTTGGTCGATTATTTAGTCGACTATAATAATAATACTAATTATTATTATAATTATAATTATTGTAAATAAAAAATCAAATTCAAAAAGAGTATCAATACCATCAATACTATGATGACGATGACAATGATGACGATGACAATGATGATGGTGTTGGTGTTGCTGCCAATAATTTTACGTTATGATACAAGGTCCAAGAATTCACTGGCTTCAAGTTCCAATGATTCAAGTATTGGTTCCAGAAGACCTTTAAAAAAATGAATAACACACAGTTTCATGTAAAGGTTCAAATGGAAATGAATATGATATTTCAGAATCTGGGAAATTAAAGGTTAATAATAATGATGAACCTGCATCAAAAAAAAAAAAATAATCAACTAAATAATCGATTAAAATAATCGACCAAAGACATTTTGACCAACTAGTAGTCGATAATCGTTTAGTGCGCCGCGAGTCCAAAACGACATTCACATGATTTTTGCGTGATCATTTTTTCAAAAACTAAAAGCAAAAACTATAGATATTATGGATTCTCTATATTCTTTATGTGGATAGAACATAAAACAGTTGGGCTCTTTGATGAAGAGCCCCAACAATTTCGGATATCGGCTACTATTTCAAATATATTTTTTTACTTCATATCCTCCAATCGTGTCATTCTTATTAAGAATTTGATATACAATGAGAATGCAGATGCATTTGTTCAAAAAGTTTTCATTCCGATATTTTTAGAATGCTACTTGATTCATTGACAACTCCATAAAAGGTAGATTCAAAAATTAAATTAGCCTTTACATCATTTCCAAGTAAAGTTACCATTTTTACAGAGTGAGTGAGATTCCATCTATTGTCTGATAATCTTAAATTGCAGATATATCTTGCAAAAAACATTATATGTCTACTGAAAAGTTTGGATTTTCTTTTGATTGATTTGTCAATTAGAATTGCATCTTGACTGTGTCTTTTACATAAATCAATAACTATTTCTTCCAAATGATTTGACTTCATGATTCTGTACTATTTGCATTAGCAAGATCAAGTAACTCTTGTTGCCTTGTATCTGCAAGTGAAAATACTATCATTGTGTGATTTGGTACATTTTGGGCAGAAATAACAGTGAATTTAATCAATTCATTCATGTAGATATTTAATGCTTGCAGTGAGAACTGTATTATATAGGGTCTTATCTGTAAAATAAGTTTCAACACACCCAACCTAAAAATGGAGGTAAATATATTTTTACATTAAACAGTCATGAACATGTATTCTTGGGTAGATTACCTGGTGGGTAAGCTATTTTCTATTTCTTTTCCTGAATTTTTTATATTTAACCACATTTAAAATTTTAATATGGTATACTATAGATATTAACCAAATATTATTAGCAATTTTGGACAAAAAAATCTATTATTTTGCAAACCACAATAAATTGTTCCAAGAATATTATGTTGTTTGTTATATCACTCACTACCATTGTCCTCTCTGTGCAATCATAGCCATTAAAAAAGATTTTAGGGTTCAGTTGGTGAAGAAAGTAAAGAAAATTAAAAATAACCCTGAGAGATATATAAACCCAACAAATATGACTAAAATACAGAAAGAATAAAAGAATAAAAAAGAAAATTAAAATTTAGAAAGGCAAACAACTAATATTGTTAATAGCCACCAACTAATTGGACCGTATGGATAGTAGTCGGAATGATTGTTATTGGATTAGTTACTTATTTGCTAATGAATAAAGAACGAAAAAAAAGGGCAATAATTTCATCAGTTTGGCAAAATGGTGAACCCGTGAAATCTATGCAAATAAACTGCACCAGCAATCTTGATGCGAAAAAAACTGGATTGTCCTAAGGTATGATTAGTATTATGAAGGACCTATACAGTTATTCCAGAGCACCTTCGAGAATTAGGTCCATCAAAATTTTAAATGCTTTTATATTTCACTATTATTTATTTTTTTATTATTAATTATTATTCATTCTTATTTCATCCATACTATATGCAATGTAAATTTCTATTCTCTTCTTCTTGAATTAATATGTTTCGGAAGTATCAAATTTTAATATATGGGGCATGGACAGTATAAAAGGCCTATAGTTCAAAATTTGACTGTGCCAACTATACAATTACATGTGTTAATTTCTTTGCAAAAGTCTGCATGTAATTTGGACATGGCCATTTTTTTTAATTTACAAGAATTCACATGGTGCGGATGTGCAACATCATGGGCTGCAGTAAGTTGGGCGCGTTCAATATATACTTATCACCATAAAAACAATGCATGAAAAAATTTATCGATTTTGTATATTATTTGATTTGAAAAATTCAGTAATTTCATGGGTATTTTTCTTTCTTTTACACACATCACTCACTTTCTAGATGCCAATTATCAAAAAGGCACTTTAATTTTATTTATTACCACAAATACATGTAGCATATGCACCATCTTCAGAGCCTTTTTGAACAAATTCATGGTTTAAAAGATGCTGTTTAATATATTTTTACATTACCATTTCTTATTTGTTTATAAAAAAGAATTCCTATTTTCAAATGTTGCATTTGAGGTTAATGCCCAATTCAAATGTACCATTTGAGGCCAATACCCGCTTTTTAAATATACCATCTCCTAAGATTATTCGAGACTTTGAAAATTTTATCATCTACTATGCAGTTTTTAATTATGGCATAACTGTAAGGCACGTATAAATTTTTTATGGCCTTTGTATGCAATGTGTATGGTTCTAGTTATACGCTTGGACTGATTATTCTGCCTAAGAAATTATTAAACATTCAAGATGACACGTCACATTGTGTAACTGGTTATTATAAAGTGATATGAAAATGGTAATCACGCATCAAAGATCTTCACTATGCTGAAGGTTGCGTAAGCGATTTGATCATTTAAATGCTCATTTAATCTTCGCTAATATATTATCTTCCTTTTTTATTTTATTAAATAAAGGTTTGGTTAAATCGTTTATATTATTTGTAAGTAAAAATAATTTTTATGAAAAAATTTTCTTATAGAAAAAATTTTATCTAAATAATCTTACCCAGTTTATTATTATAATAAAATTTTCGAATTAAAAAAAATAGATATATTTTACTTAAAGATCTATAATATTCATGTCTGGAAAGGGAAAAGAAGTGTATGTATATGTTTTACTGTCAGATCTATTAAAGTTTCCCTCCTTAAAAATTTTTTTGCATTTTGTTGATATTATACCAGATGAAAATGTAAAAGTTTTCTAATCATTTTGTTTAAATTTATTTTTTTATAGTGATAATGATCCTGCAGGAAATATTCCAACTAATGATCCAGCCACAGCTATACTTCGTGATAAACCTGCAAAAAATAAACTCATTGTAGATGATGCAACGCAAGATGATAATTCAATAATGTCACTTTCCACAGCTACTATGGAAAAATTACAACTTTTTCGTGGTGATACTGTATTGGTAAAAGGCAAAAAAAGACGTGACACCGTGCTAATTGTTTTAGCAGATGATGATTGTGATGATTCTAAAGTAAAAATTAATAAAGGTTAATACTAATTTTTATAAATATTATTGCATATACTGTATATATATTGTAATAATTTACATCCATATATTTATTAATTGTTTTTTTTTATTATAGTTGTTCGTAACAATTTGCGTGTACGTCTCGGTGATGTAATATCAATCCATCCATGTTCTGAAATAAAGTACGGAAAGAGAATTCACGTGTTGCCAATCGATGATACAGTCGAGGGAGTGACAGGAAACCTTTTCGAAGTATACTTGAAACCTTACTTCTTAGAAGCATATAGACCCGTAAGAAAAGGTGATTTGTTTTTGGTTAGAGCTGCTATGAGAGGCGTTGAATTCAAAGTTGTAGAAACGGATCCACCAGATTACTGTATTGTAAGTTTTTGATTGATTATTATTTTTATTTTTAAATTTTAATCAATTGTTTGTTTATTTTTGTTGACTATTTTAATTTTTAATCTTAACCCTAAAGGTTGCACAAGATACAGTGATACATTGTGAAGGCGATCCAATTAGCCGAGCAGATGAAGAATCTAATCTTAATGATGTAGGCTATGATGATATCGGCGGATGTCGTAAACAAATGGCACAAATACGTGAACTTGTTGAACTACCGCTTAGACATCCTCAACTCTTTAAATCTATTGGTATCAAACCACCTCGAGGTATTCTTATGTATGGGCCTCCTGGTACTGGTAAAACTTTAATTGCTCGTGCAGTAGCCAATGAAACTGGTGCATTCTTCTTTTTAATTAACGGACCTGAAATAATGTCAAAGATGGCTGGTGAATCCGAAAGTAATTTAAGAAAAGCATTCGAAGAAGCAGAAAAAAATAGTCCCGCTATAATTTTCATTGATGAAATTGATGCTATTGCTCCAAAACGTGAAAAGGTAGGAAAATCTATTATGCTTATTATTATAAACATTTTACATTTATCGGTTTTTCTAATGATATATTATATAATTTTTTAGACAAATGGCGAAGTAGAACGTCGTGTTGTTTCTCAACTTCTTACATTGATGGATGGTATGAAAGCTCGTTCAAATATTGTTGTGATGGCAGCAACTAATCGTCCAAATAGTATTGACCCTGCACTTAGACGTTTTGGTCGTTTTGATCGTGAAATTGATATTGGTATCCCTGATCCTGTTGGCCGTTTAGAAATTTTGCGTATTCATACAAAAAATATGAAATTAAGTGACGATGTCGATTTAGAAAAGGTATTTTGTTGGTTGAGATTTTTTAGCTATTGTTATAAAAAAAAAATTTTTTATTAATTTTTATTTCTACCTTCCTAAAAATAAAACAAATTGATTAGATTGCATCAGAAACTCACGGTTATGTTGGTTCTGATATAGCTTCTTTATGTTCAGAAGCTGCAATGCAACAAATTCGTGAGAAAATGGATGCATTTGATTTGGAAGATGATACCATTGATGCTGAAATATTAGATTCTTTAGCTGTGACCATGGACAACTTTAGAGTATGTATATTATTGTTGTTGTTGTTATTATTATCATCATCATCATTATCCTCGTCATCTTATTTATTATAATTTATTTTGTATATAGTATGCTTTAGGCGTTTCAAATCCATCAGCTCTTCGTGAAACAGTTGTTGAAGTTCCTACAGTTACCTGGAATGATATTGGAGGTCTTGAAAAAGTTAAACAAGAACTTCAAGAAACTGTACAATATCCCGTGGAGCATCCAGACAAATTTTTAAAATTCGGTATGTCACCTTCAAAAGGTGTATTATTTTATGGCCCACCTGGTTGTGGTAAAACTTTATTAGCAAAAGCCATTGCTAATGAATGTCAAGCAAACTTCATCAGTATTAAGGTAATTATTATCGTAATAAATATTTATTATTGTTTTATAAAGGTTTTTTACATATTAATTAATAATAAAACCACATTTCCTATTTTTAACCTTATCAGGGACCTGAACTATTAACCATGTGGTTTGGTGAATCAGAAGCAAACGTACGTGATGTATTTGATAAAGCAAGAGCAGCAGCACCGTGTGTAATGTTTTTTGATGAATTGGATTCGATTGCAAAAGCACGTGGCTCTTCACATGGTGATGGAGGTGGTGCAGGAGATCGTGTACTCAATCAAATTTTAACCGAGATGGACGGCATGAACACGAAGAAAAATGTATTCGTTATTGGAGCAACAAATAGACCTGATCAAATAGATCCAGCTTTACTTAGACCTGGACGTCTTGATCAACTAATTTACATTCCTTTGCCCGATGAACCATCAAGATTTTCAATTCTAACATCAATACTAAGAAAATCACCAGTAGCACAAAACGTGAACTTAAAATTTTTGTCTGAAAAAACACATGGTTTCTCTGGCGCAGATTTAACAGAAATTTGTCAACGTGCTTGTAAGTTAGCAATTAGAGAAAGTATCGAAAAGGAAGTAGAGCGTGAGAGATTACGTAAAGATAGAATAGAATCTGGCGA